AAATGATAACACCATGAAATCAGGTCTCTAACAGAGACAGTAAAAAAAAAAAACAAACCCAAACCAGAACAAATCCAGCAGAAATGAAGTTCCTGAGAAATAAAAAACCTTTCAATAACTAAGCTTGGAAATCCACTGGGATAACGCAGGCATCGTGACAATTACGCTTTAACTTTATAACATTTGGAAATTAATGATTATGGATCTGCCTTTAAGAGCTGAAATACTTGTCACATTAATCATAGTGTCTTTAAGAAATCACTGTTCAGTGATAGTATCAGGGTCACCCACTCACAACATTACGGAATTCAGAGTCCGTCTGCAGAACGAGAGCAGCAGATACCGTACACAAGAAAGGCAGTGGTGGAAAGCTGTTGCAGCCTCCAATTGCAGAGTATATTTCAAAACACAGATCAAAAATGCATTTTAAGCTTAAGCCTCAGAAGATCTAGTCCTTTAGCATGATGAGGTCCAAGATTAAGCTTTCATTTAGTGCACGGCAATCTTCAATGGATGGCATTTTTGCTTCTCAACAGGATTCTTTTTTTTTAAGTCAGTCGTCATCTTTCTCAAAACGGAACCTCTGAGCCTCTCAAGTGATTTATCACATTCTTAATACGTTTGTGAAAAAAACTCAGATATCTAAAAATAACAGCCTTCAGATGAGCATCTTAATGCTTGCATTAGTTTTAACTGAAGAAATACAAACACGTTGCCGCTTTTAAGTTACTCAGGTGACAAAATTTAGCTATTCGTGTTCTACTGATGCCCTATTTTTAGAAGAAAGCCACCCCTATCTGAATAGCTTTGAACAACACCCAAGACTCGCCTTGTTTTACTAACTGACACATCGGAAGCTCCACAGCTCTTTTAAAAGGGTTCTCTTGAGGGCTTACCCCAACATTACACGGCAGAAGAAAAAAAAAAGAACGACCCCCACATTCTTCCTACAGGTTTTCTACAAATGTTTCTACCCGACTTTAACAAGCCATTCAAGCTCTCGTCATTGGGAAAAAAGCCCTTCTCTTCCAACCGACGGCTCCCGGGCATCCCCAGCGCCCCGCTCCCCAGGCGCGCCTCCGGCTCGGTCGGATGCCCACGCCGCCAGGTCCCTCTCCTGCGTGGGGACAGCCAGGCGACTTGCGGGGGG